CAATTTCTCCCACGAGCCACGCTTCCCACCCCCGGCCACATGAAGGGGTAACGTACCCCCCTCCACCCCCCCCCCCGCCGACCTGGGGGGGGAGGGGAATCCTGGGAGTTGAAGTCCACACGTCTTAAAGTTGCCAAGTTTGAGAAACACTGGTCTAAAGCAACTTTTCATGAATATTCTTGATGCAAGTTTTTTCTTCTATTTCAGAATGAAGAGGCCAGTAAAACTGAGGTAAGAAAGAAGTGTCTTAATGGGCTAGTTATGTACCAGAGAGCATAGCAATGGATTTCTTAAACCTGACTTAATTTTGCTTTCTTCCAGAATGGTAATGATGAAGCAACTGCTGATCAAGTTGGCAAAATAAAGCTGGTATGTAGAAGTTTCTAACCTGAAGAGCAGGTTAATAAGCTCGTGAGTGGTGGTTAAACCAGAATGGGTTGCATTATTGCTGCAAACTTTGGCTGAAATAATATAGCTAGTTTGTCTCATATAGCTCAATGCAACAACAGCTTGTTTTTTTCCAGCATTCCTGTGCCTACTTTGTTTGGACTTGAGTGACTTATAGATTGAAGTATGGAATCCTAACTCTTGCAAACTTTGCATTTAAAGGGTGTTGACCAGATGGATCTATTTGGAGACATGTCTACTCCTCCTGACCTCAACAGTCCCACAGTGAGTAGTAAATAATTCCTGCTTTCAAAATCAGTAGAATTTTGAAAGAAGTTTGGCTGCAGAATTTTTGACAAATCCTCTTGAAGGTTCCTCCCATCATTCCTGGATGATCAAGTCATCCTATATAGTCAGTCCTTCCTTCAAAGGATCTTGATGGAGGCACCTTGAACAAACTGCAGATTGTACTATTGATAAATGCCAGAATGATGATTATAGCTTAGAAGAAGGACTGATCTGAATATCTAACAAAAATACCTAGCATAAATGGGCCAAACTGAGTTTCCGTAAAGTATCTTTTCATAGCTTTGGCTGGCTTGATGAACAACAGTAACTTTAGTGATATGTGCAGAAGCACATTGTACTCCAGAAGAATATAATAAATGAGCATAAAGAAGGAACCTTGGAGGAAGAAGTATGGAAAGCTTTAGCAAAGTTTACTTGAATAAATTGCCTTAAGGCACTTGGTTTGCTAATTAGATAGGTTTGGAAAGCACTTGATCAAACATTGGTATGAGCAAGTCATTGTAATACTGGCAACAATGCATATTCAGAGCTGTTTCAGTAAACGCCTGTATAGCCTCCTCCTTCTACCACTGTTTCATAATCAGGTATGGATGATCCTGGTCGTCAATAGGCATGTTTGCACAACACACTAAGCCAATCCAGTTGGTTAATGTGAAAATGCACTCAGCTATCTAAACTCATGTCTCCTTGTTGTAAACTGTGGCTTTTTTTGTGTGGCTTTGTGCAGTGTCTGAATTTGGAGGAGTCATCATTTCTTGTTAGAATGAATGAGAATTTAAAATTCAGCTAATGGTTGTTTAGATTCTGGTTCATGCTAACTATAAATGATACCTACTCTGATGTTCAAACAACATGCGTAAGCCATAGAAAAACCAGAAACCATGGTTAAAGAATTATCAGAATTGTTGATATCGTGACTGTTTTTATATATTTATTATTTTAATTGCTGTACGCTGCCCAGAGTCACTTTTTGTGAGATGGGTGGCTATATAAATTTGATAAAGAAAGGAATAAATAAAACAAGAGGCAAGGTACCAGTGCATGCATGTTCCCAGCCTGATTAGTTTGATATATTGTCCAGGCTGTTATAAATCCCAACCAAGAGTGAACAGCTGGTTCAATAATTTCACAGTAGGGTGACAGTTTAAAAAAAACAACAGCAAAATGCATCTCTGTCATAGACCCGCAATTTCTAAAAAAAATTCATTTCAAATCTGCTTGCTTATCATTTTTTTAATCAATAGCTCATGAGACTACTTGCACGTGCTAATCTGTCTTCTTTCCCAAACCTAATAGGAGGAGGATAAAGAGATCCTGTTAGTGGATTTAAACTCTGAAATTGAGGCCCCTCCAACTTCTCTCAAAGGGGAGGACCTTTTCTTGAACGACATCTCGCCTTCCCTGCCATTGCCAAAGCGACAGCCGCCTTTCTTGCCTGAAAACGCTTTTTCTGCACACCTGAGCTTCTTTCCCATCCCCAGTCCTGACCCTTTCAGTGATGACCCTTTCACGCAACCTGACCAATTGGCACCCCCCTCCCTTGATTCTTCTTTAAAACCTTCCAGTCAGAAGATGGAGAACAGTGGTGTGAATGGGGACGTAGACTACTTTGGGAAAGAGTTTGATCAGATTTCCAACCGGACTAGCAAGCAGGAAATGCTGGCCAGCCAATGGCTGCTCGAAAGTAAATCAGCACATTTAGTGGTGAAGACATCCGACGGGGTCCCGGAGAGAGAACAGAATGGTTTCGTGGCCAAATCCCCCTTGAGTGTCTTTACAGAAAGCTCCACCAAAGGAACGCCTGTGCAAAATGGGCTGCGGCTAGACTCTGATAGCAACCTTCAGTCAATGCCACAAGATTCCATCACAATTAGTCCACCTCCACAAAGTACAAAGCCAGGAAGAGGAAGGAGGACTGTTCAGGTGAACGTTGGGGCATGTGCAAAGTGGTAACATGCATGTTTTCTATTTGGAGTAGGTGAAAGAAATTCTTTTCCTCTCCTCATGAAAGCTCTGCTAGCAAGAGAGGCATTTGCCTTCACTCTAGAAACGCCGCAGCCACTGTGAACTTAATTTTCTCTGTAGTCATTCTTTCTTAATCTCGCTTTCTTTCTCCTAATGCTGCCATATATTTGTATCTTGGGTAAGTAAGACGCTTAAACTAGTAATGCATGCATTGAGCATATTGGTTTGGAAAAAGCAAAATGTTTTCTTTGTGTAGTTCACGTACCCGTATCTGGAATTGGAGGATCAGCCAAGCATAGTAGACCTCAGAAGTTTGGAAGTGAGATCAAGAAATAAACAATCCTTGGTTTTCCCATATAAACTGAAATTAGCCCAGTGTAACCCTTCTGAAAGCAACACCTTGTCTTAATTAGTGCTGTAAGAAGAGACGCCAGCAGTTCAGTGCTAATGAGAACCAACTCAACTATATGCTTGAACTGAAAGAGTTTTTTCAGGAGTGTAGCATTAAAAAGCACGTATCTGCAGGGCAGGTAATTAAAACTAAGCGTGTGCATTAGATTTGGCTGAATACCATCAATTCAGGCTGCTTTAGACTGATTTTGCAGCTCTGTGAGGCACACACACACACACACGCGCGCGGATTGGATGGGATTAAGATGATCAGAGTACAGTTGAGGCTGCAGAAATTTGCATTCTGCAAAAAAAATGCTGATGAACCTCATTGTACCAGCAA